GAATCTAAATGTAGCTATTTCTAGATTAAACAGGCAATGCATATACTTTATAAACAATCACGTTCTCTGATCTGTATCTTAGAGTCAGTAAAATATACTAATACTGATACCTTAACAATAATGCATTATTTTGTGTAGTCATATAACAATAGATGAGTGCCACCTGGGAACACACCATCTGAAATAGCAAAATCTCTCACCTGGCTTTCTAGTATATTCATAATTACCCTCCATTTTCTTTCTTGATTTTTCTACAAGGTTCTTTTCACTATTCCAGTAAAGTAAATAGTTTTAAGACTTTCAAGGTGTAATTACTTCTCCTACACCCCATTCCTTTGATCTCCAGCTTACCCAAACACAGCTTACAGAAACACTATAGGAGGGAGAAGAAGCAAAGAACATTGCAGTTAATGGCATGCACTTTGTTATCAGTGACTACTTTTGTGATTTGGGGCAAGTAATATAGCCCCCTATATGCTTCACTTTCCCTACCTCATAGAGTTAACAGGTATTATGTAGAATCTTTAAAAATCAGCAAATAAGTCTTTCTAGGCTTGGCACCGACATTACCACCTCCAAGAATCTTTCCATAATTTTGTTCTCACAAAACCAGGTTACATGTCCCTTCCCTTTAAATTCCTCCTCCATGTGCTCTGGCTTCTCATTATATTCATCACACTATAATGTCATTTTCAGTTGTTTTTTAGGATTTCCTCATTGAAGCGATCTTCAGGGAAGATGTTCTGTAGCTAATAATTTCAAGTTCCCTTATGGCAGGTACTTTATCTTTTTTCCATCTATCAGATCCCCAGTGTCTAGGATAGTATCAAGTATAGAGACAGGTAGCTAAGAAAATTGTTGAATGAATTGTCTAAATTTTTCATCTGCTAAGATTCTTACTCCTTTTATATGCCCACGGATTACAGTACTTCACTTTGTAGATACACAATGGTAATAACATTAATAGTAATTACATTAATTAATATACCAGTCATGAACTGCCTTAGTCAATTTTGTGGTGATACAACTGAATATCTAAGATGGAGTAATTTATAAGTAGAAAAATATTTATCCCACAGTTCTGGAGACTAGGGAGGTAAAGGTCAATTCATCAGGATCTGATGAGGGTCTTGCTCTATCCTCCCATGGCGGAAGTGAAATTTTCTGTATTTGCTGATGACATAATCTTACATAAGAAAACCTGAAAGACTTTACAAGAAACCTATTAGAATTGATAAATGAATTGAGTAAAGTTTCAGAATACAAAACCAACATTAAAAATTAGCAACATTTATATGTATTAGTAACCAATAATCTCAAAAATATTATAATATAATATGATTTAGAGTAGTAACAAAAAAAATTAAATAGGTGTAAATTCTACTAAAGAGGTAAAATACCTGGGTAACTGTTAAACAATGATAAAAGACATTTAAAAGACACAAATCAATGGGAAATATTTTCATGTTCATAAATACCATGAAAATGTCCATATTACTCAAAGCAATCTAAAGTCTTACTGTAATCCCTATCAAAATGCCAATGGTGTTTTTAACATTAATGAAAGGGAAATGTATTAAAATTTTGTGGGTATTGCTTTTCTGGCTAAAATCCCCTTTGGCTAGTGGTACCTTTGCCCAAGGTCTTGTCCTGTGTTCAGGAAGAATGAGGTATACACCTAAGTAGAGGGCGAGGAAGATGAAGAGGAGCTTTACTCAGTGTTAGAACAACTCAGAGAAGACCTGCAGTGAATCGCTCCTCTCTGTAGTCAGGTCATCCTGGTATCTCTGCAACTTTCAGCAGAGAGGAGGGCTGGAGTGTGTGGATCCTCCCTGCCAGTGGAGCATCCTGAGGAGTATTCAGCGCTCAGCAGAGAGGAAGCCCTGGAGTGGGTAGCACCTCTCTGCAACTGATTGTCATGACATCTGCTGCTACCAGCAGAGAAGAGGCCTTTGAGAGGGTGGCTTCTCTCTGCAACCATGTCATCCCAACGTCTGCAGGTCTTAGCAGATAGAAGGGCCTGCAGAGGGTAGCCCCTCTCTCCAGCTGGTTGCCTTGATGTATGCTCCGCTCTGGCTAAGTCTGGGGTTTTTATGGTGTTCAGAGAGAGAAAGTGTATACTGATTTGTCCATGGACAACCTTGGGTGGGCTCAAGAAAAATTACCATGCATTACCCCTCTGGTTGACAGTACTGGCAGAGGAGCCCACAGGCTACAGGACTTTCCTAGCCTGAAGGTGGGACTTCACTTGGGACCTGCCCTCTTCCACCCAGAGTCTGTCTGCCTCCCACCGCCATTCATGGTGCCCAGACTGTTTGTTCCAACTGGCACCTGCCGACCAACACTGTGCTGCCCCTCCCCCACTGCCTCAGCATCCCTCCTATATTTGTCAGTGCCCAAAATCCAGAGGGAGACAAGGTCACCGGGGCCTAAAGTGTCAGCACCTCCCCAAGCATGCACTCACCCAGCCAGGCTGCAATAGCATCTGAGCTCAGCCCCAACTTTGTTCCAAGATCAGAGTGGGCTCTCATAGTGAGGAGAGGCCAGGCAACAAGAACAGGCACTTGTGAGCCAGTGAGGGGTAAGACTTTCCCACGTCCCCAAGAGTACAGAGAATCCTGGGTCTGCAATCAGGCTTCAATAGCTGAAATATGCATCCTCACCCACACCTATGATACTGGAGCAGTTGGCGGCAATGGAGAGAAGCCATCAGCGAGAGAAGGTACTTCTGAGCATGTTGGGTAGAGGACCCTCCCAGGCTCCCACTAGCACGGAGACACCCAAATCTGGAGCTGCAGTGAAGCTCCTGCCTGCTCTGTGAAGTAAGACGTCCAGGCCCATGGGGACAGGGCTCCTGCCTGCTTAATGGCGTGTATAGCCCTGGCTGCACCTCCCTGCTGCTGTGGCATCTTGGCAATGGTCACTCTAGTTGGGCTGCTGCTGCCATCAAAAATACTTCAATTACTATGGAAGAAAAAGAGACTCTACATAGCCAAAACAACCTTGAGCAAAAAGAGCAATGCCAAAGGCATCACACTCCTTTCCTTTAAAATATATTATAAAGCTATAGTAACCAGTGCTGCATGGTCCTGTTACAAAGACAGACAGACAGAGAAATGGAACAAAATAGAAAACCCAAAAATAAACTAAACTATTTATGGTCAACTGATTTTGACAGAGGTACCAAGAACATACAATGGGGAAAGAGGAGCCTCTTTCATAAATGGTACTGAGAAAACTGGATACACACTGGCAGCATGATGAAATTACACATTTTTCTCCCACCATATACAAAACTCAATAAAAAATGAAGATTTCTTAAATTTCTATTATAAGTTCAGTGTCATATGTGCAGAATTTGCATATTTGTTACATAGGTAAACATGTGTCATGGGGGATATTTATACAGATTATTTTATTACCCAGGTATTAAGCCTAGTATCCATTAGTTAGTCTTCCGGATCCTCTCCCTTCTCTTACCTTCTACTCCCCATTAGCGTCCAGTGTGCTTTTTCCCCTCTGTGTGTCCCTATGTTCTCACTTTTTGGCACCTAATTTTAGGTGAGAACATGTGCTGTTTGGTTTACTGTTCCTGCTTTAGTTTGCTAAGAACAATTGCCTCCAGCTCTATCTATGTCCCTGCAAAGTACATGATCAAAGACAGAAAGACAGAAATACCATTCAATCCAGCAACCTTCTCATTGGACATATACCCAAAGGAATATAACTCACTCTATTATAAAGGCACAAACGTCTATTTTCATTGCGGCATAATTCACAACATCGAAGACATGAAATCAACATAAATGCCCATCAATGATAGACTGGATAAAGAAAAGACAAATTACATACATACACCATAGAATACTATGCAGCCATAAAAAATGAATACTTAAATAGAATACATGAAATCTAAAACTACTTCTAAAAAAGCATAAGGAAATAGCTTCATGCCATTGCTCTTGGCAAGGCTGTTTGGATATAACCCTGAAAACAAAAGCAATGAAAACAAAAGTAGACCAATAGAATGGCATTAAATGAAAATGTTTCTGTGAAGAAAAAAAGACAATTAACAACCCACAGAATGGAAGAAATATTTGCAAACCATACATCTGATAAGGGGTTAATACCCAAAATATATATGAAACTCAAAAAACTTAATAGCAAGAAGACAAATAATGCCATTAAGAAGTGAGCAAAGAACCTGAACATATATTTTGTAAAAGGCATACAAATGGAAAATCAGTACATTAAAATAAAGAGAATTGCCAATCATTAGGGAATTGCAAATTACAACTAAAGTGAAATATCTCTTCACACCGTTACAATGGCTTTAATAAAATGATGAAACATAATGTTAGTGTTGGGAAGAATGCAGAGCACAGGGAACTTTTAAATGGGTCACATTAGCTTGGAGGGATTTGAGGTGAGACATCCAAAATACTAGTGTCTGATGAGTGCTGGAAGACAAGGAAATGAATCATTTAAGAGGAATGACTATGGGGAAAGGCTTGAAGGAATCATCCTCTCACATCCATGTGAACCATGAACATTAAACATGGAGAAATGAGGAGTGGCGGTAGATCAGTTTGGGATGCATCTTCAGTGGATGCTGAAAGAACAACAGCATTTGGTTTTCTCTACAACCCTTTCATCCTTTCCCCCCAAGCCCAGGAAGTTGTCAGGGGTGGTACTTTGTGATGTCAAAGCCATCCTAGGACTGCCATTGGCTGGGACACTGCCTGTATGATCAAACAAAGCTCAAGGGTGTGGCTTTGCCTTGTCACCAGGAGGGTATATATAGGGAGGGCAAGAGCTCTGGGACAACCCACTGGCAAGCTTCAATACAGCTGTGGAAGTATGCACTCTTGAAGAGCCTAGTATAGACATTCTACAAACAGCTATAGATATGAAAAAGCCAACTTCAAGCACCAAGATGAAAAGTATATCCAACAACAAAAAAAGTGACAAGGTAAGACTGTTAGGATTTGAAGGGAAGATGAGGCTGAAAGACAGACACACAGAGAGGGGGTGGCTCAAACAGCAACACAGGTACGCTCCAGACACCTGTGGAAGTGGGGGACCACCTTAATGCCAGAACGCACGGCTACTTACAGGCTCTGGTACTTACAGGTATGGGTGGGAGGGGTTTGGGCGGTATGGCTTGCTACGTGGCAGGATATTGATAAGGTGTTTTTATGATCCTGGCAGGATATTTAAGATGCTTTTATGATCAGGCTGTTTGTCTCTTATTCTAGTGGGATGTCATCGTGGCGTTTCTTAGAACTTTGCCGAGCAAGATATGATAGGAGTGTTTCGTTAGTTGGACAATCTTGCTAACCTCAATGATTGTAAAAGCCTTTTTTAAGGTTGACATTTCTAGATAGACTCTCAGGTAGTCTTTGATAGAAGATGGTTGTACTTCTCTTCCAATCCAAAAGCCTCCTTTTTTTTTTTTCCACTGGACATAATTCCCAGTAGGAAGTTGAACAATGCCCACACTGTTGCACATGTTGGTCTTAGATTGTAGTATCCTACATGTAAACACTCAGAACAACTACCTGCATGTAAACGGTCAGTGTGCCTTGTGTTGAGGTGGTTAGGCAAGATTTTTCTCATTGCCCAAACCCCCATGGAATGTTTCTCTTTGACCAAGGTTTGCAAAATCGCAAAGAGCTTACAAAATGGTGCAGTTTGGACTAACACAGATGACCCTAGCCATGCTCCTCTTCTTCTTCACCATAGATCCTACCCTATGATTCCACCTTGATCTTCTTTGGCACAAACTCCTTTCTCAATCTGCGTTTCTTCTCATAAACCATCCCCCCGCCACCACTGCTATTCAGCCTCTACCCTATTCACCAAAAATAACGTCTTTCTGGCCTCTCCCTGTTTTCTTACCAGACGCTGGAGACACTGAACGGAGCTTTAGCCTCTGAACAAATTTTGAAGAAGACCAAAAAATCACAATATCCAACAATATTAGTGTTTTACTACAGGAACCATAAGAAAATAAATTCAAATCAAATAGAGAATGACCAGTCCCAAGACAACTCCATCAATCCAATCCAAGATGAGGAGGACAGAGACCTAGATCTATGTGAAGGATCTTCACAGAAGGACGAAGACCTAGACTCATGGGAAGGATATTCAAAAGAGGATGAAGACCTAGATGACTCAGCTGAAGGATGTTCACAGGAGGCCGAAGACTTAGGCTCATGTGAAGGATATTCACACAAGGACGAAGACCTTGACTCATGTGAAGGATATTCACAAAACGACGAAGACCTCGACCCATGGGAAGGATCTTCACAGAACGACGAAGACCTCGACCCATGGGAAGGATCTTCACAGAACGACGAAGACCTCGACCCATGGGAAGGATCTTCACAGAAGGACGAAGACCTCGACCCATGGGAAGGGTCTTCACAGAAGGACGAAGACCTCGACCCATGGGAAGGGTCTTCACAGAAGGACGAAGACCTCGACCCATGGGAAGGATCTTCTCAGAAGGACAAAGACCTCGACCCATGGGAAGGATCTTCACAGAAGGATGAAGACCTCAACTCATGTGAAGGATCTTCACAGGAGGGTGGACAGGATTAATCCACATGTGGAGAATCCAAATTGGACAAGGAATAATAACAATAAAATAAATTTTGAGGAGCTGATGACTGAGTATCTCTCTGCTGGTTTTCTGATGGTGAGGTGGAAGGGATTGGGAGAGGTAGGCATTCGAGGAGGGAGGGATAGGAGTTCCTGTAGAGTTGGTGAGCAGACCCACAGGTGAAACAGACATTCTAAATAAGGACTCGGGGAAGGACTGATTCCTGGAGACAAATTTTCTTCTTAAAATTTTATCCCACAGGAGACAAAGAAGAGAATTTGGTGTTTCTTGGATCATGTACCTATTTAGAAGGGCACATAAAAAGAGCTGCATTTTATGTAGGTGACCGTGACACTCTTTCCAAAATGAAGACATCAAAATCACCACCTCCAGACATATACCTCATGCTAGTGTATTTCTAACTCACCCAATTCTTTGAGCAACTGAACACCCTCAAAAAGACTAAGAAACTCACCCTCCAGAAAGTAAAACAGCACACCACACACACTAAAATGATGGTGTTTGCAGGACATGGTACCAATACTAGGTCACTTTTTTGTTTAGAAACTCTACTTGGAGCAAGAACCTACCAAGTGTGGCACACTGGGAGTGGCCTGTTTCGACTACAGGCAATAAATGGGAGCAGTGTCTGTGGAGAATTTTAAAACAAGAATGCCCGTAAAAGCTGGTATTTATATTGCCACTTCCATACACCAGCATTCCTAAAGAGTGTCCATGATTAAGAATTTTTCCCCTGAAACAATATTGTTTTCTTTGGAGGGAATAAAGTAGAGTGGTTTCGGCATCAAGTGTAGAGGGCTGAGGTATATTTCTTGGGTTAATTGCTCAAGATCCTCTCCTGTTTACTCATTCATTCTCCTTTATTTCCATGTCCCAGTTTCATTTCTCTTCTCTACATTGGCAATCATTGTGATGCATTTGATATGCATCCTTTTCTCTGTATGAGTGTCAATACATGTTTCATATTGTTTGTGGATATTTATTTTCAATTTTTGTATTCATTGTCAATATTTAATGTTTCACTCACCCCTCTTTTTAAGATTCATCTATGTATGTCTAATATTTTCTTCCCTTGTAAATGGAAATGTCGGGTGTATTTTTGTATTTTGTAACTTTTAGAAAAATATTTTGATTTTTAATATTTGTACCCGCCTTTTGGTTCATGTTTTGCTTAATTTATACTTTAGTATTACATTTTCTTTCAAGTGACTGTACATAGTATCATGTGTTTAATTTTGATTTTCACATGTTCAATGTTAGTATATAGAAGTGTGATGGGTTTTTTAATTCTACTTTAAATAAATTTATTGTGTATATTTGAGGTTTACAACATCATATTATGGGATACAGAATGTAAAATGGTTGCTATAGTGAAGCAGATTAGCATATTTCTCAGTTTAAGTGTGTGACAATAGCATCTAATGTCTACTTATTTAACAAAAATTCATGGTACAATTTCATTAATTTTAGCCCCCCTGTACATTAGATCTTTATACTTGTTCATCCTACATATCTGCTATTTTGTATCCTTTGACCTACATCTCCCATTTCTTCTCCCAAACCCAGTATTTCATTCTCTTCCTCAGTCTATTTCAGCCCCTAATTTATATAGTCCACATATGCAATCATCAAATCTTTTTTTTTTCTGTCTGGATTATTTAACTTAGTGTGATGTCCTACAGGTCAATCTATGTTGCAAATGCCAAGACCTCCTTTATTAAGGCTGAATAATATTTAGTTCTGTATAACTACTACTACTACTACTACTACACACACATACCAAATTTTTAAATCCATTCATCCATTGATGGGCATTTAAGTTGTTTCCATATCTTGGCTATTGGGAATAATGCTACAGTGAACATGAGAGCACAGATATCTTTATGAGGCTGTGATTTTATCTCCATTGGGTATACACCCAAAAGAAGGATTGCTGGACCATATGGTAGGTACTTTTTTTTTTGAGACTGAGTTTTGCTCCTGTTGCCCAGGCTGGAATGTGATTGTGCAATCTCGACTCTCTGCAACTCCTGCTTCCCAGGTTCAAGCGATTCTCCTGCCTCAGCCTACCAAGTAGCTGGAATTACAGGCATGTAATTCCATGCCTGGCTAATTTTGTACTTTTAGTAAAGACGGGTTTTCTCCATGTTGGTCAGGCTGGTCTTGAACTTCCAACCTCAGGTGATTCACCCGCCTCAGCCTACCAAAATGCTGGGATTACAGGCATGAGCCACCATGCCTGGCTGGTAGTTACTTTTTAATTTCTTTAGAAACATCCATATTATTTTACATTATGATTATATCAATCTACATTTTCCACCAACAGTGTACTTAGGTTCTTTTTTCTCCACACCATCATCAACATTTGTTATTTATTTTCTTGTTGATAACAGCCATCGTAACAAGTGTGATGTGATATTGTAGTTTTAATAGGCATTTCTCTGATGATTAACAATGTTGAACACCTTTTATTATATGTTAGTATGCCATTGTAAGAAATACTATGGAGAGATGCCAGTGTATTTTTCAATCAGTTTTCTCCCATGATAAGACCTTGCAAAAGTATAGTACAACATCACAACCAGAAAACTGACATTAATACACTCCATCTATTCAGATTTCACCAGTTTTACATGTGTTCATCTGTGTATATGTGCTTATATTCAGTTTTATAATATGCCTAGATTCAAGTGACAACTACCATAATAATAATCCAGAAGAGTTCCATCAACACAAGGATCTTGCATGTTGTCCTTTAATACCCACACCCAACCTTCATCTCAAGTTCATAACCCCTGGTGACCACTATTCTCCACTTATATAATTTTGTCATTTTGAAAGTGTTATGTCAACAGAATCTTTTAGTATGTAACCCTTTGGAATTGGTGTGTTAGTCTTTTCTTCCCTTGCTATAAAGAAATACCCGAAGCTGAGTAACTTATAAAGAAAAGAAGTTAATTGGCTCACGATTCTGTAGGATGTACAGGAATTGGTGCCAGCATCTGCTTCTGATTATGGTCTCAGGAAGCTTACAATTATGGCACATGAAGGGAAATCAGACACATCACATGGTGAGAGCAAAAGCAAGAAAGAGAGGGAGGAGGTGCCCCACACTTTTAAAAACCAGATCATATGTGAACTCAGAGCAAGAACTCATTCATCACAAAGGGGATGGTGCCAAGCCATTTATAAGAGACTCACCCCCACAATCTAATCGTCTACCACCAGACCCCACCTCTAACACTGGGAATTACATTTCAAAATGAAATTTGGAGGGGACAAGCATCCAAACCATATCAATTATTATTTGTTTCACTCACCATATGTCTCTAAGGATTCATTCATGTTTCTGAATATATCAATAGTTTATTATTTCATATTCCTGAGTGTGATATTCCATGGTATAAATGTACCACAGTTTGCCCAATCTTTCTACCTGTTGAAGGATACCTGGGCTGGTTCTAGTTTTTGGCTATTACAATAAAGCTGTTATAATCATTCACATGCAGGATTTTGTGTGAACATAAGATTTTTTTTCTCTGTAATAATTACCCAGATTATGGGTAGTATGATAGTTGCTGTAGTTGGTTGTGTAAGAAAATTCCAATCTTTCTAATGTGAGTGTATCATTTACATTCCCATCAGCAGTGCATGCATGATCCAGTTTCTTTGCATGTGCATTAGAGTTTGATTTTGTCATTTTTAAAAAGCTTAGCCTTTCTGGAAGGTGTGTACTAATATCTAATTGTGATCTGAATTTGCCTTTTCCTGATGGCTTATGATGTTACACATCATTTTAATGTACTTACTTGTCACCTAGATATTGTCAGCCCTCTCTTTTTGACAGATTCATGACAATTGGTTAGAACACAGATTTTGACAATATATATATTAAGTATGAAAATGGCATAAAGATTAGAAGAGTTTCCAATAACAAGATTTAAATGCAGTGAGAGTTTAAACAGGCTAGACTGTGGACCCCTTTAACCATGGTTTTAATCTGGCAAGAAAAAATTTACTAGAGAACATTGGAATGCTTTAATCTTGGCATTCCAAAACTAACATCTCATGAATAGAATGAGAGGCATTTGATTTAACGGTAGTATCAAAAAATCAACTAAGAGGTTTTCAATTGACAACGAATATGTAGTGAACCAAGAATGTGAAGAGGCTGTTCAAAAGCTATTCATATCTCTGAATAAATTCCATGAAAGCAAGAGGTGATTTTCTGTTGTTTGTTGATCAGACTACACTTGAATAAGTATTTTCAATTGTGGACCTTTAAGAGGAAAAGAGGCAAATTAAATAGTCACTTGAGGAAGGAAGAAATGTGAGTGATGTTGAGACTTGAAATGGTGTCGTAGGGCAAGTGATGGAAAGAACTGTATCAAGAATTTTTCTGATGGGAAACAGACTCTACACTCAAATAGAGAAAATTAGAGAAGAGTTTGATAAATTTCTAACACTTAGTGACTGCAGAGGAATGGGACTGTATAGGAAAACCAGAAGAAATAACTTGCCATTGGAAAGAGGAAGGCAAGTGCGATTAACCCTAAGTTTGATAGGGTGAATGAGGAGACAATTATTGGAATCTAGAGAATTAGGGAGCTCTGTGTAGAGAACTGTCAGACAAAAAGTGATGATCTAGGTAAAGGGATGAAATAAGACTACAGAAATTTTTCAAGGAGGGAACCAGATAAATAAATACTCTGACTTCATTTTCCTCCTTCTCCAATCATCGGCAAGGATCTACCATTCACTAAAAACTAACCTGATGCCAGAGAACAAGAGAGCTTATGAATACAGTACATAGTGTATATGAGTCAGGTTTTTAGGAGCACCAAGCAGCGTGAAGCAGAGTGGAGAATGGATCTGGTGAAGCAAGTGGATGATATACGAAGAACACTGAGCTCAGAGAAGAAAAAGTCTCAGGAGAGATCATGGTGTCTTTATTCAACTCTCTGATATGGTGTCCTGTGGAATCAGG